AAAAAAGGAAATTAAATTTTATGGAATTAGCCATACGCAGATATGGCAATACCTCGAAAATTGCGCACTTTCTTTACCCTATTTGACATTTCCAATTGTCACTATTTGTCAACTTTCAGGTTACGATTTTCGATTGGAATTGTTGGCTGCTAGGAGATTTCGATAGCCCCGTGAAGAGGTAATTTTTCTATAAATTAATATTTAAATACAGAATTTCAGAATTTCCTTTGTAACAAAACTCCACAAATGCGATACCATTTAAAGACAAATGTAAGCATTCAAATCCGTTTCCGTTGCAGATTTTTGGTGGTTGAACGCAAATTACATAACGCAGTACTAACTCATCACAATGTCCCAAGCTCCAGTACGTGTATCGCCATTGATTAAATTCGGCCGGTGGTCTTTACTACTTGTAGGCGTAGGCTATGGTGCCTTCCATCAAAACAGATTATCAAAGAAGGAAGTAAAGGTGCGCGAAATCGAAGCACAACAAAAGGAGGTGCGCGATGCTAAATTGGCCGAAGAGAAGAAACGTGCGGCTGATGCGGAAGCTCGTGCTCTGGCGGAACTCTCCAAGCCAACTCCAAAGAAATAAACCATTTCCACCCGAAGGATTTATAGTATAGATTATGCTCACCACAATCGAAATGATGCGAAGTTAATAAACAAAATATGTAATAACATCAATTGATTGTGCATGCCAATTTTTGGAAATCGTGACATTCAAGGCTTATATTTCGCAGTACTGCGACCGGTGTTTATTAATTCTTATTTAAAACAGACGGATTTTTGAAATATATGTATGGTGTATGTGATGGATTTAAAGAAATCGTCGGTGAACTATTTGTGAAAGGTACTTCGTTTATCATCCGAGGAATATCTAGATTTAGCTACGTAACACCATTGTACACTCAAATAAGATGCCATTTAATATTTTAGAGTTCTGTAGAAATTTTGCTTGGTAGATGAGCGTACAAAATATGTAACCATTTTCATGAGGTTTTAAAATTCAATAATGGGATGATTAAGGATTTTGTTATTGCTATAGCCACAACTGCGGATAAGTACTGTTTAAATGAAACTAGGAGACGGCGTATGATAGTCTAACTTGCTATCGTGGTCAAAAAACAGCAATTTCAGTAGTTTTTTAATTAAATATTTAGTCATCCGTTATTGAGAGAGTTCATTTTTCTTTACTTTTGTGTTGCGTTAGTTACATCAAATATCTTAATTGCAGTTATGCAGTTTTATTAATTAAGCGAATGCTCTAATCAGAAAACCCGCAACTACTTGTCAAATTCGTTTCCAATAAGATATCCACAGCTGATTGCAATCATGCAGTCAAGTTCCAGCTTAGTATTGCCATATCTTTTCGAAATGTAGAAATAAATAATTATGCAAATACATTTAAAAACTAGTCTGGCAGCGTTCTGATACTCAACTACCTGCTTGTTGAAATCCCGCGAAATTGCAGTTTTGAGTGAAAATTGTTGGATCAATAAAACTAAAGTATATTTCGCCTAATTTATTTGGAGCAAAATTAATCAATACATGTAGCATGGCGAACAGCTCGCTTTTTGGTGGTTTTAATGCAGTAGGAGGTACCAAAAATAGCAACAACCAAGTTAAGCAGCCTGTGCAGTATGCAACGCCAGGGCCCTTCACAAAGTCAAAACTTTTTCAGGATTGTCCGGAAGCGGATATACGTGTGCTCAAGGAAGCAGCCGCCAAAGTCGTTGCCCAACCTGGTAAGCTATTTACCATGTACATAACACTTCTTAAATTTGATTTGTCAATTACATAATTTCGCTGTAGCATCGGTTTTACTGCACTCGCCCTTATCGACAAAATGGTCGCATTTAACAACAGGCTGTTCCGCTTTGGATAACTGTTTACGAGGCGGTATCGTAACGCGTGGTATAACAGAAATTTGCGGGGCTTCGGGTGTTGGAAAAAACACAATTGCTTCTGCAATTATCTTTGACGGTACAACTACCTATACATCTTGGCGGTTTGGGCAAAGCAGTTGCCTTCGTTTGCACTGAAGACGCATTTCCTTCAAAGCGTCTGTTTCAATTGGCCAAAGTATTTGAAAAGCGTTTTCCCGAAAACCAAACCAACTATATGGGAAATATTTTCATAGAACATGTACTAGAAGCGGTAAGAGCAGTGAATAACTAAATGTTTTTATACCATTTTCCATTCTCTTTCTCTCGATGGCACAGAATGACCTATTGCAGTGTGTGGGCGCGCGATTGGCAAATTTAATGGAATCAGTAAGCATTGGCCTTATTATAATAGACTCAGTGGCAGCAATTTTTTCGCACTTACAACAACTACATTAAGCGTGCGCGTGACATGCGCAACCTAGCCAACCACCTGCTGCACTACGCTGATAAATATAATTGTGCGGTGGTTTGTGTGAATCAAGTATGTACCTAATTAATATGTATGCTGATCAAATAATTATTGTCAATTACTTTGAATTTGTAATCAAATCTTTAGGTCGCCACTGCGAGTGATGCCGCAAAAGAAACACCATGCTTGGGTTTAGCTTGGGCTCATTTAGGGCGAACACGCATAAAACTATCCAAAGTGCCGAAAGAAGTAAAAATCAATGATGATTTATTTACAATACGCCGATTCGAAATTGTATACTCGCCAGATACACCAAATGAAGTGGCTGAGTTTTTAATAACTGCCGGTGGCGTGGTCGATGTTCCTGTATAGTCAAAATACAATCATCCAAATGCACTTGTAAGTAAGACTTAAAATTTGTATTTAATTAATATATTTATTTGCCCTTTCGCATATGTAATTTTGTTATTCGCATAGTTATTGTTAAGCTTATAATGCTCATGTTTTGTACATTCAATAAATAGTTAAAGTTTGAATAATGTAATTTAATACATTCAATATTTGTAAACACGTACAATTGCACACACAACTGTGTGTGTTACAAACTATTTTTTATTTTATTTTTTATCGAATAAATTGAAAATGAACTCCCACGTAAGCAAAGTTCGGCTTGGGTAAGAATTGTGTTGTTGCTGCAGCCTGTAGGTTCATAAATACGTACATGCAAATTGCCATACATTCATATCACACCCTAAATCAAAAACAGGCACATAAAGAAGGTGGTGAAGAAGAAATTATAGCAGGCTTAGATGTATGATCTGTGAATTGTTTTATGCATATAAGTCAAGCTTGAAAAAATTTTCATTTGTGACTATTTTTGATTCAGGGTGTGATATGCTCCTGCAGCTTTTTCGTATACATTAAATTTTTTTGTCTTCCTAATTCTTTTACATATTTTCATTTATCACATTACACCCAAGTTAACATCGATTTCGTTTACTTTCATTTTCCCTCTTCAATATCTTCAATAGTATGTACTTGCATTTCTATAGTGTTCATATTCGAATTTCGTGTGTATAGTTTAGTTAGATATTATATTTACAATTACATAATAATTAAGATAAATTTGTATATTTTACTTTTTTAAGCGGATTTATGGCAACACTTAAGCAACAATTGAGCGTTCCTTAACACTTACCTAAGTTGATTAACTGCAGCGAAATGGGAAAATGATATACTATGTACAAGTATGTGTGTACATGTTTACACATCTACTTTTCAATAAGCAAAAGTATTAGCAAAACTATATATTTAAATTTAATTCGATTGTTCAATGTTTGTTTATCTTAACTCTTACACATCTATGTATGTATGTAATACATAATATGTATGCACATCCGTGTACGTACAACATTATTCAGTTTAACTTAAGGTACTAATCTATCCATTCATTAATTGAGCTTCTTTCCTGCGCCCACAGTTTGTTCTGTAAGCCAGTTACATACATACATACTTAAATTCAAGAAAAAGTATATTTTGTTCATTTTTGTGTTCTATTTAATTTTTGGCACAGTTCAATTTGACTGGAAGTTCGCTTCACAAAATCTTCCTTTTTAATTTTCAACATCGCGCATCTCTGCATCCTTGTCCTCCTCATGCTCTTCGTAATCATGTTCATCGATAATTGGCGACTTTACATCTGTTTCCTGTTCCATCACCATCTCTTCTTTTGCCATATCTGCCCCACTTTCTTTCTCCACCTTTAGCTGGTTTTCTTCGCTTGTCTTTGCTGCTGTACTCGTTGCTTTTTGCAACTCTTTCTCGAGGCTACTACCATTTCGTCTTCCAGCTGCATCCGTTCTATCCACATTCAATTTGGCACTGAGTAGCGCATTCGATATTTTCGAGGCGGCCAATTTGCTTTCGAAATCCATGTCGCTAAAGTGCAGTGGACTATGATTGCTGGCAGCGCGCAACAGGCTTAATTGCAGTTCCCGATGCTGTGGCGATTCCTCTAATTTGATTTCGAGTTTCTCTGTCTGCTCCAAAGGTGCGGCTGGCTCAACAGTCAGCGGGATGGCGTGTTGTCGATGATGAGCATGCGAATGCGAGTGATGGCCAACACGATGGTGGTGGTGGGGGTGATGGTTGTGCTGTTGTTGTTGTTGGTGATTATGCGGATGTTGTTGTGCATTCTCTACGTTTTTGTTGCTCGACTTCCCACTGGTACCTGCAGTTTTCGGTGTTGTTACGCTGTCGCCTCCTCCACCGTTGACCAGTGCTGCGCTGTTGCTGTTTACACTCGCTGCCGTTGAATTTTTTGCGGTTTTCTCCAGTAGCGCATTTAGTTGTTTTTT